GATGTAGCCTCCGGTTTGGTGCCAGCCCGTAAGTGAGAGCACAACACCTTCACGAATTCATCTGTCCTTTGATCTCCCAGCAGGTTCCTCTCCCCCATCGCGATCGCACGCACCGGTATGGCATTGTCTGGCATGATGTCGTCCAAACACGGGCGTGACAACATATCTGGCAATACATTTTGCGTTCCATCCACGTGCTCAATGGTGAAGTTGAATTCCTGCAATCGGTAGGCCCATCGCGCAAGCCGTCCCCGCGGGTCTTTCGCCGTCATCAACCACGAAAGCGGTTTGTGGTCAGTGACGACCCGGAATTCATTCGCCAGTAAGTAATTTCTCCACTTCTCTAACGTCCACACGATGGCCAAGCATTCTTTCTCCGTTGTTGAATACTTCTGTTCCGCCCCCGTCAGCACTCTGCTCGCGTACTCCACCACCCCAGCCGGTTGAGACAAAACCGCACCGATGGCCACGTTGCTTGCGTCGACAGCCACAGTGAACCTCTCACCAGGATTGGGTAGCCGTAGACATGTCGGGGCTTCTGCGATGCCTGCCTTTAGATGGTCAAAGGCCTGATCCGCTTCAGCTGTCCACACGAAGGGCACGTCCTTGCGAAGCAGCTTCAACAACGGGCTGACCTTCTCTGCGAACTGGGGCACAAACTTTGAATCATATGCCACCACTCCCAAGAACGAACGGAGCTGACGCTTGGATTTTGGTTTTGCGAAGCACTTGATCGTCTCGCGTTTCTCCGGAAGTGGATGGACTTGACCATTGCCCAAGATATGACCCAAGCATACAATTGACTTTTGGGCAATCTGCGACTTTTTACGACTGAGTTTCAGACCAGCTTCATCTAGCCTCTGCAGTACTGCTCCAAGTCTGGTCACATGTTCCTGTTCCGTCTCAGAGAAGACAATGATGTCATCACCGTACACAACCACGCCTTGCAGGTTCGCGAGGACCATCAGCAACAAACGCCTGAATGTAGCCGGGGCGTTGCACAATCCAAACGGCATTCTCAAAAACTCATACTGCTGGCCATTGACACTGTAAGCCGTCTTGTGGCGATCTTCTTCTGCGATCGGCAGTTGCCAATATCCCGAGCGGAGATCAATCAGAAATATCTGCTTGGCACTGTGAAGGCTTGAGAAAATTTCTTCCATCTGAGGCATCGGGAATGCATCCTTCACCGTCACCCTGTTTAGTTCTCTGAAATCGATGCAAAATCGATAGGTTCCGTCGGCCTTCTTCGTCAATAGCACGGGTGATGAATACGGGCTGTGCGTTCGCCTGATGATTCCTTTCGATTCCATCTCGGTCACCTGCTTCTGTATCTCAACCAGGGTGTTCTGTGGAATTCGTCTGAAGATCGGCTTGCATTGTCCTCCTGGGATCAACGGTATTCGGTGTTCAACCCAATTGCAAAATCCGTAATCATCTTCCGCGTCTGTGAATAAGTGGGCATACCTGCTCAGTACGTTGCGTATTGCACGGTTCTGACAATCAGGCACGGCTTTGAGGGCACCAACCCGGTCGGTTCTCCCCTTGTTTATCTCGATCGTCTCGTTAGCCACGATCACCACATCGTTTTTCAGGTCAATTGTGACACCGAGCCATTTCAGGATGTCGGTTCCGATGATGGTTTCGGTCGTCTCCTCCACGATGAACATGTCATGGCTGATGAGCGTTTCTCCTATCCTGATTCGTAACCGCTGCGTGCCCGTCACTTTCAAAGAATGCCCGCCGACCGTCTGCATCGTGATTGAAGATGGGTTTACTGGAACCCCATTGAACCTCTTCGTAATTGACACTGCCGCTCCTGTGTCTACTACGGCTCGGACAGACACACCTTCTATAGTTACCTGGAGGACTGGTACTCGCCACCGACTCGGCATGGATAGAGAGAAACAATGGGGCACATTGACGTTGGTGCAGAATCTCGCCACATGACCATTCTGGTTGCATCGGAAACAGCGGCGACCGTTCCGGATTACCCGTACATTGCGTTGTGAAGTGGTGCTTGAAGACTCTATCGACAACAGCTGCTCCACCATTTCGGACAGGCGATTTACTTTCTGTTCCAACTCAGCATGCTGGATGCTTCTCACTGTCACTCGTTCCGACAAATTCTGGGCGACCGTCACCAGATCCAACGCTTTGCTCTCTCCCAGCAGCGACGCCAATTTCACCTGATCATGGAGTGGACCGGGCAGACTTCGGATAAACTGCTGTTTCAGTAGACGCTCTCTTGCTTTGCCCTCTAACTCGGGGAGCCCAATCGTTAGATGTCTGTCCAGCTGCTGGAAAAACACCATCAAATCCTCCTGTTCGTCCCACCTGGCTGCGTGAAATCGTTGCAGTGCTCGTTCTCTCTCCAGATCCTTCCCAAATTCTGCACACAAGGCAGCCCTCATCTCAGCGAACGAACAACCGGGTTTGGCCTTTCGAGTGAGCAAATACACCGCCTTGGCTCGTCCACTCAACCGTGTGCCCAAAGCAATTAGCAAATTTGCATCCCCCCTCACACCCGTGCAAGCCGCAATTCCGTCGAACTTATCGAGCCACGCCTCCACGTCACCGGCCGCAAATTGCTCCAACCGGGTCAACTCCATCGCGATTGGTCACGGCACCAGTGTAGCGAGAACGACAAGACAGGGGGGAAGACGTTTATTGCACACCGAAAATGGGCACATGAGGGTCTCGCGCGCGCCATCGAATATCGACTAGATTTCCGTCCCACCACGCAACACAGGTACGGATGTTGGAGACGAGCCAGTCCTTTCGCCTCGGGAGCTCTGACTTGGAAGATCCGCCTTCCTGTTTTCGCCTCGATCTCTGCTTCTCTGCATCCGATTTGGATCGGCCAGGAGTCGTTCGAGAGCTCTCGACTTGCTTGTTCTGGGCTGTGTCAATCGGCTCGGCCTCGGTCCTGTGGGCTGCGCTAGCGGCGTATTTGTCTGATTTATTGCGCTGCCCACATATTCCCGCTCCGTAGTTCCGGGCCCAGGCTCGTCGCTAGCCGTCTTTCGCGATCCGCTCTCAGCTAGCTCCGAAGAGCTCCCCAGAGCCATTCTTGGAAGGGGCCCCTCTACACAAGCACCGAAAACACAGGAATCAGTAGAAGGTTTGGAAATGTCGTAAAAATCCATAAATATATGTTCGAAGAAACTATACTGCATATCTGCGATGTTTAGTTGGAGCAAAAATATGTACGTACAACATTGGTGAAAATGGTGTCTGCGTACTAATTGATACAAGAAGCTGTAGCAGCGGATGTGGAGTACTGGCCAAGTCCGAGGCGGATAGAGTTCACAGGGAAATTTCCCGGTAGATTTATTTCTTCATTGTTTTGGGGTTTCCATCTTCAGGGTAACAACATTTTTATTAAAGGACATCGCATAATCGTGGACAAGGAAGATTAAGGTAAATTGAGGGGTCGAAAATGAGGGTGATCGGATAACTGTGTCAAAATTTTTAAGATATAGGAGAAATCCATATATTTAGGTATGCGCAGAATAGTGTATGAAATGATTTTAGAAATTACGCACAGATGACGCCGTCGGATCATCAGTGTTATTAAAGGTCCACACGGAAGAATAGGAGTTATATACTACCCTGGCATTTATGCAAATTTACGTGAGAACTGGTGGGATTCGTTCCACAAAGGTAAGGATAAAGAAGATTGACAAAAAGTTGCAGAAATGGCACAAAGATAACATTCAGCGAATCCTCATTTCAAAACACAGGAATACTCCTGCATAGGACAGGGCCGGTCTGAAAGTGATCCGCAAAGAAATTAACGAAAAATTCCAAGGAATGGCCCAGTAGCATCATCTCGAAACATAGAGCAAGACACCTGCAGGTAGATACTCTTTTAAAAACGCGAGAATATTACGGCATAGGAAAGGATCGGTCTAATAGAGGGATCCAAAAAAGGATGGTGTTCCATAGCATGGTCCGATGAGGAATATAGCAAAACGTCAGTAAGCAAATCTTTTTACGAGTCTTCCAATGTAGATGGCAGATCCACAGAAGAAACTTGTCTAAAGATTATCCCACTGTTATCATCCCGTGAGAAAATGGCGTAACGTAGTTAAGTCAATCCTCTTTCGGCAACGAAAAGATTTTTCTACATTTCGATCATGATCAGAGGTCTGTGGTCTTGAATATCTGATCCCTTTACGGTTCCCAGTGATGGTCCAGAGGAACAATAACTGATACTTTATAGTAGGCCTGGGAGAACGTGATAGCGAACAAACACCAGACATCATGGCGTATTTGCGCATACTGATTCATATATGTAGCTACTAGTTTTCAATGTGTAAGAGTGCATGTTCCTACAAATTTTAGGTTGACGCATCTTGAAAGACGCTGGGAAAGGTTGAAATAACAAGATTGTGTCAAGCACACCAAAACGTGTGCGTTCAGGACAGGTGCTCCATATGAACCTGTAAGTCTCAACAATGGCCGTTCAGCGAGTGATGGCTATCAGTCCGAGTATGCTGAGTCCCAGCTCAAAGGAGATAGAATATTTAGCGTAGACGTAAACGAATGCTTTCTTATCCATATGAAGATATCTGGTTACCGGCCAGTTTTCACGCCTGTAAGCATAATACGATGGCGAAAATTGTACTTAAGGAGCACCGTAGGTAGAGCAATTTCGGATATTTCACCTTATTCCGGGACAGATCACCAAGTTAAATTGGGTGCATTAAGATCCACTGCAAAAGAAAGTTTGTGTACGTAAGCGTCTCTGGTCATTCGCTAATGATCCCCATCATCCGCCTAATACGGCATGAAAAATGGTCTGCATTTTCAAACTTAAAAGAAACAAGCGTATAATAATGCTGAATGCCGCCACCAACTATAGGTGGCTCGCAGAGCAGTTTCCGTACAACTGGCCTTTCACAGTTGCATCAACTGCCACGAGTACAAATGGTTTATTCACTAAACCGCAGCAATGCTTTTTTAATCTGAACCAACATTGAATTGACAAGTGGCAGCGTTAGGCCCAGGTGAATGCGTATGGGAACACAAAAATTCAACAAGGACATATTGCACATGTTTTTTATCAAACGGGTGTTTTGTGTAAACCTGGTTAAAAATACCAAATATGTAACTGTGAACAGCAAATCAAATTTGGAAAGACATATGAGTTTGTTCGTTTGGTTACAGTGAGCACAGGTGAGAATCGGTTTGAATGAGGATCAAGTGTATGAGATATAAAGAAATTTCCAAAAGGTATGAATCAAAATACATTGGAGGTATCAAAAGCAGTGAACCGCTATCATGGCAACTAGTGTGTAAATCATTTGTCAGCGATAAAAGCGCTTGATGAGATCGCATTGGTGAATGAGCGGTAGCTATGGTCAGGTATTCAGCCTCCATGTTTGCCACAGCAACGAGAGTTCGATCGGCTCGTCACTTCAGAGACAGGCCGAAGTTTCAACGAATCTTGTTGCACTTGGCTTTTCTGGCTTACTGCGAGCATTTTGAGGCGGAGTGCCTCTCGAGTGATCATCTCAAACATCTGGAATGAGAAACACCATTGAGGGATCAGGTTGGTTAGCGTCAACACGGAAGCAAGAATTTGTTGAACGAAAAGGAGTGCGATAGGTGGATTTCCGACGTGTGAGTGGTACTCGGAGAAACACCGCGACAGTTGACACGTTGAATGAATGGTAGTGTCCCGGTATATGCGATGAAAATGATGTGTGCGGACAAGCGGCGTAATACACAGCATTGCAAACAAGATCCTCATTGATAATTAACCTGTATCGAGACATCTATTAGATTGTAGTCGTCTAAGGCGTTTAGTCAGCACTGCATTGATTAGTCGATGGCTGACGTACTAGCCGGCATTTGAACAGTGGGTTTCTGTAAGCACTCCAGTTGATGATATCTGTTTCCCTACAAACCCAAAACATTCCACGCTGGATGCCGTGGCATATCTTGTCTACTTACTAATACCTGACTTGATTAACCCAAGGTTTTTGGAAGTGTTTACGAGTCGATACTGCTGTCTGCGAATGATGTCCAACCAGCAGTGCGCAACCTGGTGAATAAGTATTTTACAAATCGCATTCATTTCATCCAGTTAAACGGTGAAAGGTCCTCTACTCTTCGTGATGACTGGGACAAATTACACGAGCAATCCTCTCTCCAAAAGGTTTCCGATTCCGCCCGGCTGTAATGGATGTGAGCACGCTGACGATGTTTCAGGAAGTATTACTCTCACTGTTGAGTCATATACCGCGCTCCAAAGCAGTTTGGAGACTCGAAATCGAAGAATATGCTTGGAACCGATCGATGCGCGAATCAGGTTGAAAAGTGCAACTCGACTCCCCGCCGTCACTACTATGGGCTTATCTATCGATCCCATGATGTACAACGGAACACCTGGGCTATTCCCACTTTGGCTGAACCACTTGAGGTGACAACCCGACCCGTGTCTGTGCTATCGCGATTATCCTCCCTGTTCGCTGTAAATTGCCACTCCAATTGAATACCGATTCACCTGGCCTGACGAAGCTATTGTGTCAGAAGCGAAACATTGCCCAACAAATACGCCCAGACCCCAGACCTATATGAACTCAGTTTGGATGAGTTTCAGCGGTGGTCGTCGTCCCAGTCCCTAATCCCGAACGCTGCCAAGTGCTGCGACGTAACATTATCTCCTTCGTAAGAAAAAATTTCGTACATAGATAAAAGCTTCGCGCCCCCTGATCGTGAGTGACCGCATCATCCTGAGTTAAATACTTTTAAGTATTCTCACCTAAAAATCTATTCTGCTTAACGCACACTGACGACACCTTCCGCGATGTAAGAAAATTGTCATTTTACGTACTGCGATTTGAAATGCTTTCATTGCACTGAACTTTAAGGTATAAATTCGTAATTGTTTGTATTGTCCGTCGTTCTCTAGGCATTTTCATCATGTTCTTCAAAAAGTCATGGTACTGAGCGTTTCTTTAAGATCATCTCCGACTGAAGTGGACTGCCCAGACTCTGGAAGGCTTCATTGTTACTAAGCATTTCGGCACAGGTTATAGTTACTCATCAAAGATTTTAAATGATCCTTTCCACCCCCTGCACGATTGTTTATCGAAACCCCTTTCCTGCTCGTCTGCGCGCTCGAAAGATGGGGTCCTGTTTTCTTGCAGATAAATAAATAAAGTTTTCTAGACAACGCGAAGCTCGCCTTTGCAGGCATGATCATGTGTTGTTAAAGCAGACATTTGTGGCTTTGTATAGGGAGAACACTTCCTAGGCGAAAACCCACCACATCCTGGAATACTACCGCCGAACCATTTGCTGGAACGGGTTAAACCCGAACCACCCAGCTGGCACCACGAGGAGGTTGTTCGGCTAGCCAGCCACTTATCATAACTCTATCTTCCCGTATTTATTACGTTTTCTTGTGGACTCCAAAAAGTTATCAATACTAGACGTTTATTTGTGACAATGCTCACTTTATTTTTTCAAATTTCGCTCGTGACTTTAAACTCATTACATCTGCACATCAGCAGAAAACGCTGAAAATGTTCCCTGCCGAGTATCTCAAGCTTATTTTGAAGAGTTAAAGGGTAACAGTCCCACTTACAAGCGAAATTTACACGTGTTAATAGCCTAGAAGGGTGCAGATCCTGTTAAAGTTAGTTGGCACCAGGCACCATCGAACTTTTGCATAGACAATTTAGCCTCAAGATGACGTGAGCAGAAGTATTTTGCGGAGAAGGGCGAAGTTACAGTGTGTTTTACTGGGATGGAAATGTCATACTTAAAAGAAACAGCACAATCATCGTCTTTGCTTAAAGACAGGTTCCGAAACTGCTCTAAGCTACGACACAGAAAATGAGCATCCACTATCGTTCAGAGAGCTTAACTACAAACTGGACACTCGACATCATATTTTGATGAAATGGTTCAAAGAAGTGGCACGTGCACTGTAAGAATTTTGTTCACGACAAGCGTAAAAGTGTGAAAACGGGTACAGTCACTGATTTCCAACTTTTCTCTAACCAGCTGGGATACTGTCCACTAAAACACACAACCATCTTTGTCAGTATATAGAAAAACGCTGTTATGACCGTTCGGGGAATTTTTTGACGACTGCAACAGTGCAATGACGAGTACTCGATAAAAAACGATTTTCATTATATGCGTGATTCGTGTTAGTAAAGGGGCCGTAAAGCGCGTAATGGATGGGCACAAACGAGAAGCTCACCTGGCTGACGTTTTCATTTTGCCTGGCGGACGTTTCCATAAATAGGCAGGAATGTCTGGCTGCCAACCGCTGAGCATCTTGTGTACGAACCGTTTTCATCTCCGGATTCTCATTTTTATTACCCACTAAGGAGAAACGGAAGGAAGCAATGACACTAGCCTGATAGCGGGCAAACAAAAGGTAGTCATACGACACAGAAACGACAGCACTCCATTCTTAAAGTGTATCAGCTGGAACGTCTTAGGATTTGAAGTCAAAACAATGCCAAGCGTTTCTACGACAGTTCTTCGTTTCCCCCGCGAAAAGGAGACGAATGGTGATTTTAATCTGTTTCCGAATTCACTTGACAAACTTCCAATGTATGTCGGTAAAAATCAAAATGATCCACGGAGCGTTCAATGGCCTACATTTCGTAAGCAGTGAGATGGAGGCGGCTTCGCTACTAAATTCGCAGACATCCCAACACTAGCTCATATAACAGAATGGCAGATGTTAGCGTGTGTTCCTCCTCACCGTTTGTTTAACTGAGTTAAAAGAAAAACATCATCGGTTCATAAGGATCGTTTTTCAAGGAAGTGAACGGACAATATGTATCGAGGGGTTCGTTTTGCCAAACGTCTTCGCTGAGTTGGCTATGCCAAATAAACGTTTACCCCTGAAGGACTGAGTACCGCGAGCTATGGATCCTGTGCAATCGCTGTCACTGGAGTGCGAGTCTGGTAAGTGCATATGAATTGTGACGTCATCAGTCGGTATGTGTGTTTCGGAGAAACAGCGCACAAAGATTGTACAGGCATAACGAGTATCGCCGGTTGGCCAATCTCACAGTATACGGACGTTAACAGACTATGCATATTGATGCTCTAAGTTTAAAGAGGAGACGACCAGTAGTGGATTCTTTCTGATAGATACGAAAAGAAGAGTTTCAGACCGGATAAGAAACGGAAAAGAAGACAAGATTATTCGGGTCAGTGTCCTGCAGACGGATGATACTTTCCGGTTGCTTAATCTGTAACTCGAGAGCCTGTCACGGAAAGCAGCAATGGGCACGTTCAGCTCGGAAGCGTAACTACATAGGCTTCTTAAGGTATGTGTGAACCGGGCAAACACATCACTGAAACTTTCAGACCAATCCGTACATATTGTTCAAAAGCATTGTAGTGTAAACCCACAACTACTGTTAACCGTAGGCAATTTTTGGCGGATGTGTACCACGTTGGTCAGGGGCCGCCAGATTTCAGGTGGTTGGTGTTTTTCAACGTCAGAGAGGATCTATGGCGTTCGGGCTGTTCCAAATTGACCTGCGCCCAAAACACATGCGCCGATGTTTCCGATGATCAGTGAACCTTTTCCACACTTCAATGATGAGTATGTAATAGTCGAGCTAGTAGAACCACTAACCAATGGTCTGTGCAGTATAGGTGACTCCCAAGGTGTCTCATAAAATCAACTCAATAAATCACGGAGTCACGCATTGCGTTTCGGTCATGAAACCTGAGGGCATTGTCGACAGAATAGCTGGTAGGCAAATAAATAGTGAAACGCTTTGCCAGTCCCTTTTGCGGGGGTCCTAAGGCATTTGTTTTACTGATTTAAGTTATTATATTAAGAAAATTTAGTATAGGCTTTTACCTCAGGACATGAAAACACTGGCCTTAATGCCACAGGAAGCTGACACCTCCCTTATACCAAGTAAAGGAAATAGTTTAGTTGAGGAGGGGACGGTTTAAAATAACCAGTAACGCTAAGTTATCGTGTAGGTATAGGAAGTACGTCGGTACACCGCACCGATGCCTCGCTGTCACGGGACCATCATCAGTCGCGTGAAACAAGATATTGCGAAGCCGCTGGAACTGGGCACCTATCCACTCGGCCACCGAGCAATGTGTCGAAGAGTACCATTAAATTTGAATCACACAGAGGAATTCCGATTAATCAAGTATGCTAAGTAGGGCGTATTCACTGTGGTGGAATCATCTTCGAAATCGTCGTCGCCAACAGCACTACACCGATGCGTTGCATTGATACCTCGCAGTCATACGGTTATAATGGTTTTACAGAGGAGTAGTAGTGGATAAAGAGCATCTAGTGAAAACCTAAAAATGCACCAAACAAGCATTACAGATCCAATAATCTGTGGCTTATCCACACCAGTCACGGACAGGGAATCATTGCACAGACATATCGACTAGATAGCTCGCCTGCGATTTTCATTGCTCCACACCAAATAAATCGGCATTTAAAAAATTGTAAATAAGCACTCCCGTTAGAAGACGATAGGTGACAAACAACCGGTAACGGCTGCGATTCGGTCCGGAACTAAGTGCGGGCTGAGTCGCGCGGACACTAGCCTAGAAGGGGACAGACAGTAAATGCGGTAATAAGAGACCTGACTTCCCACTGTCGGATCTATGTTAATCCGCCAAGCCTTACGTCATCCAAGATCTGCCGAACGAAGCCAGGTTCTCCTTTCTAAAGACTAAGGGAGTACGCGCAGCACACGCTCAAGCCAACGAAACTAACTCGGTCTTCTTTGTTGTTCCAACAAGTCAATCTGGAGATCACAGTGTGATCCTCGGTTGCGTAAATTATCGCAGCGGTCGAATGTCAGCTGGAGTTCAAATCCCATTGCTGAACTCATCATTGCAGAAACTAAACACGAATCAAGTGAATCAACTGGATTAGCTAGAAATTCTTCGAAAATCGCAATGAAACGTCATGCCCTCCGTGAAGTAGGACCGGGTCACCGCATAGTATGCGTGACATTTGGGCACGGGAGATGAAATTGATGTTCACGTTTTCAACTCATGGGAGTTCCGTCAAGGGTCCCGATGGGACTAAACGTGTAGGCTGATGCAGGGTGCGGCACCCAGTCGAATGTTGTCTATGACAGCTCCCTTAGGTAATGTAGAAAGTTGCATACGATTAGTACTTCTCAAGGCTAAATATGGGAATGTATCAACACGGTAACGCGGATGAAGATAGGTCCCCTTGGCGACAGTTCAAGTAAAGTCAAAATAGGCCTTATGCACTCGGGTAGGTGCATTTTCAGCATGCTACATTATCACTGCGGATTGTGATGTATATGAAATTCCTGTTACATAAAAAGTAAAACGCGTAAAATGTCTACACATATCACTCGAGTTATAGTGGTTCCATGCATACCATGAGCCAATACAACTTGCGGCGGTATCTGCTCAGGACAGTACGGTCAACGAGCCACTAAAGGGGTGTTAAGCTGCAAGGTCCCTAAAAACCAAACTCGAATAACAGACAAGCAGTTGGCCGAAGTTCATACGTTCCGTGGTAGCTATGCCCTTTCGCATCAAAAACAGACACCAAAAAGACACGTAGAAGTGGAACGCTAGCTAGCCAAGAACCAGCTGAACAAGCACAGCTCATCATCTTACGACAATCCCGTGCACCAGACAGACTTCTGAAGTGAGGTAGTAGCGAAAAGGAATGGATTTGGGTTTGAACAGAAAGAACGCAGACTGTAATGTTTACAAGAGACGGGAGCTATGGAAGACTAATGCAGCAACTGCAATTTCTCAAAACCTAGGGTCGTTATGCATATGAAGAAGGTCGATTTATTGAATTTTAGTATGAGAAAAGTATGTAGCAGCAGGAACTGCGTGATGTTACGGCTTACTTCCGCAAATCGATAGTCAGTCAGAAGAAAAGCACTCCAGCTGTTGCTCATGATATCCCATTGGTACTGATGAAAATACGAGAGGTGGATGTCCCACAGCTAAAATACAGTTCATGACAGGCACCTTCCAGATGATTACTTCGCTAGTCTGCTGGATACACACAAACACTAAGTGCCCCGTACTTCCTATGAGGTGTGCATATTTATAGCTAGATCACGACGATCTATTGACACGTGATTACGTAAAAAAGACGAAAAGCAGGCCATTTCAGAACAAATTACATTAGTTATGTATTAACAATCGTGTACACTGCACACATAAGTGGGATTGCCCCAGATTGTAGGGTGTAAGGAGAAACAACCAACGATGTCGTGCACGGATGACCCATGAAGGCGGTCATGTTCGAAGAATTTGATGAGTACCTTATGCAGCGAAGAGATTAGGGAAATACAGGCGTTATCCTGCTACAAGATAATTAGGTGCGTACTGATGCGGGAGATGGAGTTATTCAACTTGATGGCTATTTTCCCATCGGGTCTGCTCTCGCCCGGGAAAGTCCCAGTTTCATGGTGGAGAGGTTATCACTTATGTTAGCCGACGTTGGTACAATTCAGCAACCGTACTATTCACAGACTCAACGATCTCTATAATCGAATGTAAACCAGTTTCTGAACAAACTTCAATGGGTCATTGCAGGAAACATTTACACAGCTTGTGACACATCTGAGCCGGAGTTGAAATATTTTGAGGACTAAGTTTCGTCAATGTTATAGCAGAGACTAGGTTGAGAAAATTTTGTTTGGTAAATTTAGTGACATTCGATCAGAGAAGAAACGCAGATGGACGCTGTTTTCCACTAAAAGCGGGCATTCTTGAGTAGCTCAGACCAGTGCGCTTTAAGATTGTGTCCTATCATATACAGAAGAGCTAATTATGTCATCAACGCTATACGTCCCTTGAAGACTATAAAATGACGAAACTGCTCGTTGGAAACATCACAAGGCGGATGCTTCAATTTAAAATATGCGTTTTGAGCATTTTCAGCACTTCACCAAAACACTGCGAATTATAAAAACAAGGAAGCATCAGTGGGAAAGTAAAACTGGCAGTCACAAAATGATAAAGTGCATCTTCAATCAAGCACACGATCACGAAGGCGTGGTTATATTCGTGATGTGTCGACCAGTAAGCATGATCGACAAGGCAGTCGGTACGAGAATATAAACTTTCAACTTCAATGATTTGGAATAAGTAGACAAAACAAGGTGAAAAGCGGACGTTTCGAATCATGGAAGAGCAGTTGATGCATACAATGAAGAGAAATCAAATCATCAACAAAGTATGACAACATTGGTGACTAACTTCTGAAAACAACATAGTCCACATCGAGCAGTGTAAAATAATATTCCAATAACAACAAGGGTCGAATTTGAAGTGACCACTAGGATTTGTCAATTAAATGCGACCGTCTT